CGGATGCTCAAATATATTTATATTTCGCAAACAAAACACGTATTGTAGATCACAAGCTATCCATGCATTCTAGTCGATGAGGCTGGTGACTATCTGGACTTTATTCTTACTTGACTTATAATTTAAAAAGAAAAGTTAGTTGAAACAGCTTTGGAAATGAGAAAAAACTCTGCTACCGAAGAATGATATTGAAGTTGTGAATGTTGATTTGTGTGCCAAGATATTTGGCACGCCATTCGGAGACACCGAAGAATATATGCGTAAAAAATCCCGAGTTATTTTTAATTAATTGGAGCATGCTTCCTAATAGTAACATATTTTAGTAGGAAATAATTATGAATTCGTTTGACTGGTAGATTAGCAAGCAATACAACAGAAGAATTCGCTTTAAAGCTTCGATGCGGTCAAGCTGGACACTTATATTCATGATTGCTGTACAAAAAAGACCATCGAATTAAGATTGGATCCTAACCAAAATATTATAAAACGAAATTTTTTTAACAGATTCAGTAATAGGATGTTTAAACTTAGCAAATTACAGCATATAGTTTACATTTAAGTGTAAAATCGATAAGAAACTGGGACGCCTACTTTGCAATTTAGCAAAATGGCAAAGAGAATTCTCCGTAATTAATTAAGTTAGTGAATAAAATAGAATGAACAGACTTATATTAAATTGAGTCATAAATGGATGGTAGACGATAACTTTCGGAAATATATTTTAGCATACAAGTCAAGTATAGTATGGACGCATATGTGAAACTCACAAATGCGGATTTACTTCATGATTTATTTTCTGAGCACAAAGATTATGTTATAGAAGTGTTTTTAATATATGCTAACAAGAAGCAAGTGCTTATCAGACACAAATATCTTGAGTTAAGCAATGCAAAGATTAAGAAAAATGTAGGTTCAGAACCATTAAATATCAGAATTAAATTTTGAGTATTTCACCCTATTAAGAAATAGATTAAAATGAAAAGTTATTTACAGCAAAACAAAGGTTTAGACAAGTCTACTTGGCTAAGGATGTCGCAGTCCTATCGGCAAACAACTAAGGAAGACATATTTGAGAATGCTATACATAAAGAGGCTAATTTTTAAAAGGAAATAGAAAATACAGTGACTTAGAACTACCTACTGAGATTTTTTCATATTAAAGTTAGTCTTCTTTTTTGTGAACAAATCTGTTTGACACGTTTTCACTAGCCAGCTAACTTTGTAATGGATATGCTACATCACGAATAAGAGATTAAGAGCTATATCATTATAAGTCGATGAAATAATAAGGTTCACACTTACACTGTGTGTGGTGAGCACTGTGGTAACAAATTAGTGAAACAAAGGGGTGCTATGTTAAAACGCTGGTATTGATTCTTTTACATCGTCGAGATATAGTTAATTATTTCTTCCTTATTAGTTTGTTTGATACATTTCAGCTTTAATCTATGCATACAAAAGTTGGTCATAGGCCCAGGTCTGTCTCATAAGCCAACTACTTTGACATAAGATTCATGCCTTTTTGCTGAATATAATTAATAATTAAAAACCTGTTGCTGAGGATGCAGAATGTTTTAATGGAATAAACCATAGAAAATAACTGTCTATACAAATAACTTGTAATATAATCAACTATATTCGTTATAACAAAACCTAAACATAACATGGCATACAGACAGGCAATGCCACTTCGATAGAAATGGATACTTTGATTCGATTGAGAATTCAAGCCTCAGAAGTAAAGTCTTTCAACATACAACACATGTTCATGGCTTATTCGAAGTGTCGCATCATAGCCGTAGTTTTTAATGCGATGCATCAAAGGCATCTTTCATTTCATATAGAACTCTCCTCAAATATCTTCTCATCTTTACTTTCCTGAAACCCTACAGGAGAGTATGCGTGAAGAGGGCATCTATAATTTGTTTTTATTTTGGAGAGGTTGGGAGTTGAGCGTTTAACGTGATGTGAGACTTATCTTAGCGCATACATAGTGGAGTCACGCCTTGGACATTTCCTTGTATTCATTACAGCAAGATAAGCTTATTAATCCATTTTAAATATAAATATGGAATCAAACTCGAAATCGATTATGCTATCAGCATTGATAGAATAGATCTTTTTTATATAATACCGAATTTGTGAGCACATTTCGTAATATAAAAAGTGATAGATTAAGGTAGCAATGTTATCACTTGAAATACTAGAATACCCTTTACTATTGTGGCTAGAGGGTAGGAATCGAGCTAAATAAAAAGCGATCTCTTTACCTTTTACTTTGGCATAAGAATACCCCTTCGGGCTTGTATGCTTACTATTCTGGACTTTTAAATTCAGAGTGATAGGTGAACATACGATTATAGACTTAGAACATGCTTTAAAAATTAAGAGAATATGCATGATCTGATAGCTTTCCATATATAAATGAAATATTGTCACTTCAAGCTATTCTATATTAAGAATTAAGCTGAAAAATGGCGTAAAAAATGATGAAATTACCTGTGGACTTGAGTAAGAATAGATGAATATTTTATAATGCCAGATAGTGTAATTGTCCGTCAATCAGAATTGAATTTATATATCAAGACACTGAGCTTTTTTTTGAAAAATGCTTTTAAGTCCAGTTTTTGAATCCTATGCACCTCTCTTTTGTTGGGACAGAAGCGCTGAGCAAATAATATTTCCATATGACTTCACATGTCTCTTTGACGAGTTGTAATGCGGAGGTAAGAATGGCAAGGCTCACTGACGAAGCCGGTGAAACGTCTGGGAATGTACCAAGCCCACGGTCCGACTCTGAAATCGATCATTCGCACTATGGACTCCGGAAAAGGTATGTTCCTCTAGGTCTTCCTGCCAACATGACCAAGTTGCGATAAAAGGTCAAACTCCTTATATAAAGAATATTTCCATTCACTATTTTCAATAATTACAATTGCTTTTATTCAAGAATCACTCAGAATATATTTATCTAATCGCAATATCAGACTGTGCTCACTCCTTAGCATCCAATTCTTCCCAGTAAACTATATATATATAATTATTATCCAGGCCTAATGGAATACGGCATTATTTAATCGAAATATCAATTTAATTGATAATATGTTATCTCCAGTCAATGCAAAGCCCATTCCAGGACTCTAACTTCTCACTTGCCTGTAACTCTGCCATTAAGAACTTATTAGGAGG